TGCAATTTCAAATAAAAAATTTAATAATAACCAAATAATATCATTGATATAATTGATATGGTATTTGTAAGGTTTATGTTGATCATATCAATAAAAGACTACCCAAATATCTTGGGAATTTAAGTACAATTTTAAAACATTATTAAAAATTTTTAGACATATACTTCAGAAGTTATGACTATTTTAAAATATAGGCAGCCAAAACGGCGAGGGAATGACTATTTTACCGTTAGACTTATTTCAGACGCAACTATCCTTCCACTAAAGGATACAAATCATAATAATTTCCGAAGTACAGATCCAAATATTATTATCGACCAGTTATGTTCTTAATTAGATAATTTCCTATATTATAAGCTAGTTAAATAATATTTACTTAACTAAAATGGCATCATACATAAAATGTATATTAACTTTTTAAACTCCAGAAATGTTTAAAGCGAATATATTTACACAGCAATACAATTGATAATTTATCAAACAGATTTAAGTTACATTTAAACCGTTTAATAACATCCGACATTGTTCAAAAAATCTATTATCAAACAAGGATAATTAGAGTAACGATTCTACTTAACTATGTAGAAATAGCTTTAATTTAATCTCCGATATAAAAATAAACAAAAATATTATTCTTATGATAAAATTAATTTTGAGACATAAACATTCGTCATGGAAAATTAGGATATAAATAACCATTGACGTTAAAAATACGAGTACGAAAATTAAATATTCAGTTGCCTATTATTCATAGGCATAAAATAAATAGTTATATTTTATTTACCAATCAGATTTAATATTAAAATAGTTTCAACTAAAATATTTTATTTAATCTTTTTTCAATTTTTAAGACATTTTTTTAATTGAATATTTAAAATTGAATTACATTTAAAAAAAAAAAACATGTTGTGAATTATTTATTTTCAATATTTTTTAATAAAAATGACATATATCAAGTTGAATTTCGGATAATCCGATTTCTAATAAATAATTTATATGAAAATATTATTTTAACAATATTATCTTGTAATGGTACAGTTTAGATAAAACATTGTAAATAAAAATAAGTATTGTAAAAATATAATGTGCGACAACATCATATAGGATTTTTACGTTCGTTTTGTCTGATGGCGGCGCCAATTTTTTCATGATTACTGTGTATACATATGATGATAGTGTGTATACATTACAAACTTGGCATTAATACCATGATAAGAAATTAGATAAGGCAATTATTACTTATCACTCACATTCAAAAGTATATTGAAAAGATAGCGTTTTCTTCTGTCCTTTTCTCAATACGTATTTCAATGTTTAATACCGTAAAATAGTACATGAAAATTCAAATTTTCACAAACTTCAAAACGCTACAGAATATTTACTACTGAATATTAATAAGATATTTTTTTACTAAAATTTTTCTTAAATTCTACTCTACAAAATAGCTATCTTAGATTTTTTTTTTACATTTTATTTAAAATTTAAAAATAATTAATATTTTTAATAAAATGTAAACAAATTAATTATTGAGATATAGCTATAGACCTAACGTATAACTATTATTTAAAAAAAAAATCAACTAAAAATATTAACTGGATCAAAAGTTATTTAAGTTGTCAGTGAGTGGTGGGCCACCCTATATATATATATATCTTAAATTAAAGCTAATGTAATGTACTTTATTATGAAAAAATAAAATTTCGGACTTTATTTAGTCTTCGTGGTGAAAATGGCTACCGAATGGTATTTTTGTGTGAAAATTCTCGATTTTATTTTTTACATTTTTAACTTTATAATGCTATAACTTATTGAAAAGTGTATGGTTCAACACAATTTTTTTATGAGAAATAATATTTTTTAATAATCCCTTTTTAATTCAGGATATTAATAAGAAAATAGCAGATTATGTAGCTTTTGGAATAATCCACCAATTTTTTAAAATTAAACACTATCTAAAGATTTGCATCGAAGCGTTTTTTTTTTATAGTGATTTTAATCACTGTCAGATATCATTATACTTGATCCAACTATGCCACGTCACCACTGTGCCGCGACCCCCCTGTGCTGGGTTTTTTANGATCCAACTATGCCACGTCACCACTGTGCCGCGTTTTTTTTAATTTAATATTTTCTAGTTATGTTAAATCATGAAATATTATATAAATACACTATTTATATGTGTACCTATATTGCCTATTCATTGCGCCGTGTTAACTTTTACTATCTCTCATAGCATAGTAATGAAAAGAAAATACCAGTGAAAAACCTTATTCACTATTTTATAAATTTACTTCATTCGTTAAAGAAAAATATAAAGTATTATTGTAATAATTATTATGTGCTTATATGTAATTACTATAGTATAATTAAAATGAAATATGATAAAAGGTATGAAAATACATATCCAGACCTCTTTAACTCTCTTTTTAAATTCATCTTTATTTGTTGCAGCATTCTAATAAAAAAACTATAACGCAAAAATACATTTTTTTTTTTTTTTGGTCGGAATTTAAACTGTTAATACAGTTTTGTAAAATTTATAATGATTGTCTATTAAAATATATTGGTCTTTAATGAGTACATTCGATATATTAGCCTATAACCATTATAATAAATATAATGTAAAATTTACAGAATGTAATGTTACTAAATATGCGACACCCGATAAAAATCTCTTCTAGCTTACATACATTAAAAGTAAAATAATGCGCTCTAGTGATTATTTTTAAAAACTATTAAAGTTTAAGATTTTCCGCTAGAGCTTGACAAAATTACAAAAAGATAACTGAATGACAAAGTTTTCAAGCTTAGAATATTATTAAATGTTTGAAAAATAAATATCTTTAATATAAATGCCATTATGATGTTTTTTTTTCGCTTTTTTAAGCCCATTAGAGGCTATAGTAGCGTGCCCCAAAGGAGGAGGTTTCTTAACCATTCATACTCCAGGATGGGTGGTAAGACCGTCGCCGAAGAAAGGGATGGTAACTCCAATTACCGAACTGATCTCTCGCTGGGCAAATAAAGCCGCCCGTGACCGAGTTTCGAACCCAAGACAGTGCGCATCGAACACTACAGCGTTACCAACTCGGGCACACTGCTTCTTGATATTATCAATAAAAAAATGCTAAAACGGAATTGACAATTTTGGTATATTAAAACGAATGGGTGACTTAGTATTTAAATTCGTAGAATGATTACTGATACAAAAACTAAAAACACGGCGTCTAAGAGACACCTTTTTTTATTTTAAAGAGTCATTATTTTACTTTTTTTTATATTATCATTTTTACTATTTTGGAAGAAATCAAAAAGCATACATTGATAAAATCGCCCTTAGTTATCATACATTATAGTTAGTCACTTTTAAATTTTTTATAATGCACTCTAATTAATGTAACTATTATTATATTAAATACAGGTGATTTTTTTTTTCACAAATCATAAAATTAATCAAAAAATAAACATTTTTTTTATCGGTTTCTTTAATTTTATGTTTTTCTAAATTTATCAATTATAAAGAATTTTCAATGATTATTTATTAGGAGCATTGAGGAAAATTTTTTAAAACTATAACACTCTTACTAGTTTCAACTAAATACGATTTTTAATCTTTTGACAATTCATTAAGACAAACTCATCTTGTTGTAGCAGAGTACCAGATAGTAATCTTGTATACTGAAAAAAATATGGTAAATACCAACAGTTTCTCGACTACGCTTTGAAACTGAAAGATTCCAAAAAGCTATGTAAAAATAATTCCCTAAATTTAATAAAATATATTGTAACATATTTAATAAAATAAAAATACAATTATACTTTTACACTGTATTTCTGATACATAATGCGTATTTCGTTAATATTTTTATGATTTTCACTTTAATATTTAGGAAAATTTGTAAAAAAATTCAATTTCTACCGGTTATATGTTTAAGCCACCCTCTGGTAACTGAATAATGAACTTTAACTCTCAAATTCACCACAACAGAGTTCGTTTCGCTACGCGATAACTTGGAAATTTACCACGAGAGGTCACTTTATCTACTATTTTATTTTATTTTAACAGAATAAAAAAAAAAATAACTTTTAACTAGAGACACTACCTTAAGGATACAATAACCATATGATAAATACCATTACACATATCAGTAAGCATACTATTTCCTAGTTATTTAAAATTAATTATCTCATAGCTCATTTTATAGGAAATAGATAATCAGAAAATTTTTGATATCAAAATTTAATTAGTTAAAACTTGAAATTACTAATAACTATTTTATTTGCTCAGATTTTTAAAACTTTTTTTTTGTTACAAAACAAGATTTTCGGAATAAGTGTTTTAAAAATATTGTTTAAATTAATAAGTAATATTATTGATTTTTTTAAAAGTTTCAAAATAATTATTATATTGCGGCAAAAATTTAAATTTTACTTCGATAAAATAATTTGATTAAAGTTTTATATTCATGATGATATACCATGTATTAGTTACAATCGAAGTTCCATTTATAAAACGATAATTTCAGTTGGGTTTTAGGATTTGCGACAAACATTTCTTAAGTACTAAAGTGCTACAATAAATATACATACTATATTATAATTCTGTAAGATTGAATTATTGAACTAAAAAGCAAAGTCATTGCAGTCAAATGCTACAAGTAATCGGCTTAAAAAGAATTAACATTTTTTTGAGCATGAAAATGTATTATTTTCTCCTTTTCTACAACTAAAAAAATATGTATGAGATTTTATCACTTTTATGTACCCTTTAAAAGTGTTAAAAAATAAAAAAAAAACATAAAATAAGACTATTTGTAGTATTACTTTATACACCTTATATTAGTATTAGTATAGTTTAGTATTACACCTAAAAAATATTTTTAATATTTTGTTTGGGCAATTTTTATAAAAATTTTTATTCTATTTTTGATTTCTTTTTTAATTTTTGTTATTATTTTAACTAATCAAATTTATAGAGATTACCTTAGTAATAAACTTACATGATTATATCGCCCAGTTTGATTCTTGTCTGGATGAGTGCACATGTTTTATGATCTGAAGTTGTCACAGCCCGTCTCCTTCTTCTATATCGGGGGCTCCCCGGGCCCCCAGCATAGGGAACCGATGGGGAGCTTTCCCTTCTCCTTATACTCATGTGTCTACCAACTACGCCACCCAACATCACTGAACCACCTATAAAATTACATACAATTAAAATAATTTATTCAACTTATTTTTAAATAAAATCTAACAATTTATGTACAACTAAGCAATACATACATTTTTATTAATTTTAGAGTTTTTTTTTGGCAGAAGGTCTACTTGTGTACAAGTTTGTTTATCGAAAATTTGTTTTTAAGTTCTTTTTTAACATCTTTTAAACAACAATGTTTACAAAAACATCTCAAAACACAACTGAAGTATTTACTCTTACCTCTTTAATATCAAACAAATATTAAATAATGAACATATAAAATATTTTATTTTATTGTAAGATCAGAAAATATATACAAAATGTGATATTTTATCTAAAATTAGAATTTATAAATCTACTGAATAAAATTATAAAATTGTATTATAAATTATGTGCACACGTTGTTCCTATTATACTATTATGTATTTATATGCATATAAATATTTATATATAAATATAATATGGCTATATCTTGTTTTTTAACTAATATCTCCCATATTACAATTTCGTTGACATCTAATTTATTGTTCTCATAGAAGTCTCTTTATGGCTGTTTTACAAAATTATTACTGTTGCTCTTACGATTTATTGTACTGCTTATAGCCACAAAAGAAATGTTATATTATGATTTCAGAACAGTAAAAGTTAAAAAGATTATGCAACCTGTTTTGCTATTCCATTTTTAATTATTTTAATCTATTAAAACCATAAAATAACTTTAAGCAATAAAACCTTCAGAAAATCAATGAAATAAAACATTTGGCACTTTAATTCATTAATTAAGTAAAGATATATATTTATAAAATTAACTTAAATATAAGTTTTAATATACAAATAAGCTCATTATGATGATTTTGGTATTCTTTTACAATGATATAAATCAAAATGAATTATTTAAACGCAATTTCAAGAACTATTTTTTCAAAATGTTGTATTAGTCACGTAAAAATGTGATGAAAATATCTGGAATTAACTAACTAGTTGTTTTTAAGGACTCTTTTTACTAACCTAAACATTTGTATCCTGTACACAAGTACATTCATTGTACTTTCGAGTGAATCTTGTCAAGCTGAAGGAGGTTCAGTATCTCTTTGCGTTTTATGTTATTAAAATAATCATAAAATATGCTAAGTATTTTTATTTTTGGGATTTCATTTTTGATATAAAGTTTTTATAAAGTTTAATTTTAAGTTGATTCTTAGTTTAGATATTAACAGTTACGTTTTGTAATTTATGATATTAAAAATTTAATGACAAAACTCATTTACTAATTTATGACAAGTAATTTACCTGTAATATTGATGTCATAAAATAAGATATAAAAATAAAACAAGTAATTCAAGCTTATGTCATTTACTGGATATACATAAACCCTTCAATTGATGACAGAAACTTCATTTAAGAATTTTTTATAGTATAATAATTTTTAAGCATTTCTTATCAATTAATCTAAAAGTCAATATTTAGATGTCAATACTTAATTCGTTGTGTCCCTTTTATAGGAATATCTACGTAAACAATCTGAGTTATACATAAGCCTAACATTGAATATAAATTAAAAATTAAGTACTTTGAATTTTTAAGTAACATATAAAACTTTTTAATTACTGTCTCAAATTGACTTTTTACAGTTTTTTTTTTAATTAAAATTAATATTAAAAAATATTTAAAATTTTCTTTAAATAATATTTGTTACTAAAAGACTATAAGAACATTTTCATATCAAATATATGTTTATGTAGATGATATTCTACCCACTAAAATAATCTCAACGCAGTCTAATATATTTATTTAATGCATTAATCTTCTTCTACCATAGTTATATATATAATAGCATATGCTAGTGGTTTTAATGACTATAATAAAAGAAGATCAAACACAAAGAAGTTATGTTTGACTATTGTAATAATTTGTGTATATAGTCGATATAAAACGATGGTTATACCACGAAGTAAGTGTTCAAAGGTACAATTGATTTTTTTCAAAGAGAACAAACGTAAAAACATTGCCAAAAACATTCGCCCACCTCACGTTACAATTAAGCAGCCGGACATATCTAACCAAAGTCATTTATTTCCCGTGTGAACTCAAATGCCTTAACAATAAATGATTAAAACCTGCAGAGTAGTGTATAACACAACTTTTGTGGCCACATTAGAGTTCCACTAAAGCAAATACTTGGGAACAGTTTTCTACTAAGTATAGCAAATTACACTATTACTCAATTGAATTAGAGTCCACACAGTAGGAACCAACACATTAATTCTTTGGGTAGAATTTATTTTTACATTTAACATAATAAACTTGCTTTTGTCCTATAATATTATGAAAAACATAAACCTTCAATTTTGAATATTTATAAAAGTTTATAACTAAATTATAATTTAATTCTAAACAAGTACGAGTAGTGATTTAAGTCTGAAATATAACATGTAAAAATGTTTTTTTCAATGGGCAAATGTAATATAACTCTTGTCTATACAATCTACATAAAGGTTAAGTATATTCTTAATAAATTAGCAATAAAAGGATTGCATCACAGTATTTGTTACTAACGAGATGTTTTAACGAAGAAGTTTCTTATTACTTGATAACTGTAGTAAAAGTGTAATATGAATTTTATAGGATTGAAGTAATTTTGATACGATTGAAGTCAATTGAAGATCAAGTAGGGCTCTAAGAAACATAACATGAGCTTCCTAACTTATTGTTTTATTTTTTAATTTCTATATAATTTTACCTAAGGAATTATTTTTAATAAGAAGGTCTGAAATTATTTAACCCCCCTAAGATCTGTATTCACATGGATTCTAAATAATTTTAAATACATGTATCATTTCAATATTAAACATATTTAAGTAAATATATACATACCCATATAGCAATGAAATATTTCTAGAATATAACCAGAATATTTAAAAATATTCTCACAATATTTTCAGAATATACTTTGGCAGCGATTCATTATCACAATATATTAAAGGTATATTTCTAAAATATTAAAAAAAAAGTATTTTACACAATATTTTGCAAGATGTTTTATGAATATATCAAAAAAATGCAAAAGTAAACCCGCCTCGCAGGATTCGAATCTCGTACTTCGAATGCTAGAGACACGCGTTCTCCACTGACCCTTAAGTTTCTACGATTACGGGATGATAAAAAAGGCTATTTAAGGTAATTCAAATTTTCAAAGTCATTTTTCCCCATTTAAGAGAAGAATTGTCAAAAAATTCAAAGTACGTGCAACTACATACTCAATTTAGATTAGAGTCATACATTTTTTTTTGAAAATCGGTGATCCCATTACTGTGACCTTCTCTTGTAATTTAGAAATTCGCCTATATTATTTGTGATATAATATTCTAACTATAATAAAAAAACTATTTTGGGTTTTAAGTTTCACAGGACAATAATAAGATATAATCGCATTGATAAAACTAAAAAATTTTTAATTTGATAAACCTGCAAGTAAGAGCAACAAGAGGTTTTTTACTATCCCTGACTTGCCTAGCTTAATTGAATTATGTTAATTAAAATTGATACTAATTAAAGAAAACGGTTATTTACTTAATGAGGATTTTGGAATAAGTATATACAACACATTTTAAAATGTAAATATTTAATTTATACTTATATTTGAAATAGTTTGTGAAAAGTTTCAATGAAATATTTCAATTTCTTTTGTTTCGTGAAATTTTAAATCACTACATACAAGTCTACTACGTATAAATGTTTTAATGGAATCCTTTAAAATAACTTTATCGACGCCTTAATGAGTTTTTGTTTTACTTTACACGATAAATATATTATATGTATAGTCAAGACACAGTCCCATTGTGGTCTCTTAACTCATTTCAGTTTCAGTCACGTTTTAAGTCTGCGCCCACAAATACAAGCACATACTCATATCGTACGTATATTGTGTAAAAGTTTAAACTACTTTTCACAACGATCCATTGACCAATACACGGCGACAAGATCCGCTGTGAGATTTTACCCAATATTGTCTCTAAGTAAAATAATCACAGTTTCAATATTGGTCTTTTATTTTGAAAAACGTGAGCTCATTACGCACCAATCCGTATGAAATCATTTTTTTAAACAGCAATTTGTTCAATAGTCTGATGTTTTTAAGAAACATATTAGATTTTCAGAATGTCTAACTTGTACAGTTTACAAACATCATTTAAAATGAAAAACTTATGACCTCGATAAAATAAATATAAAATTTATAAATTCATAAAAAAAAATATACGTTTTAATTTCCGGCTTTTTTAGAAAAACTGTTGATCCTATATTGGTAACACGATGATGAAGAATTAATAACATCCGGCTATAAAATCAAAAAAATTATTAATATACTCTTAACTAATGTTTAAAGATTTTATTAGGTGATATTGATTTTTCTTTTTACTGTTTGTTGTTCTTTTTTTTTTGACACGAGCTAGTAATTATATACCTGTAATATGATAAAATCTTTCTAATACCTATAAACAAACATGCTTAATTCAAAAACAGTTTCTTAGAAGTATTTGGAGTCTATGATTTAATGTTGAAAGCCCACAATGAGATTTCCATTTTGATAAGATATTTTTCTAAAATACTAATCCCTTTCTGCAAATAAGTTTAGCAACATAAAAACTACCATTATAAATCTTGTTATAATTCGTTTGAACAAATGTATAAAACAAAGTTATCGTGTCAAAAACTCATAACTCATTCACTGTGCTTTCGTATTCATCGTGTCAATACTCGTTTTAAATTTATTTACTTTTGTTTCTAAGTTTTAGAGTATCTATTTAATTTTGCGATTAATTAAATTTATTGTACCCAAATAATTTATTGAATAACTTTGGTCAATAAGGAATTCTCATCAGAGGTAAAAATAGATTTTCTTTAACCAATCTTTTCACACTGATTTTAAAACTACAATTAGTATTTTTCAATCTTCGTTAGTTGTTGAAATAATTACTAATATATTAAAAAAAATATTATC